TGTGTGTGTGTTTCTTACATGTAACTGTAATGTTTGTGAAAATGTTTTCTTAAATAATAATTTTGTTAATTCAGCTTATTTTATTTTTTCAGCTTATTTTAAATGCGCCATGCATGTTTACCATTAAATAAATCACGTAATGAATGTATCTCTTGTGAGGAATACACTGTCTTGGAAAAGCACAGTTACCTTCCCTTCAGTGAATTGTTTTTATAAATCTGAATTTTCACGTGTCCACAGCTCTACACAAAGAAGCAGCTCAATGAAATACTAGCTTTCTTTTTTTTTTTTTGCAGAATGCTCAATTTTAAGTAAATCTAGAGATTAAGCCAGTCCTACACAATCAATTTTGGTCCTTTTCACATGATTTTTATTTATTTAGAAGCACACATTCTGCATAGTGGTTTGGGAGATCGAGACAAAGGGGTGTTTTACTACAAGCCAAAGACATGGCAGGAAATTAAACTTGGCAGCACGCCATGGACGTTACTTTTCTCAGTTTTCATCATAAACACTATTTACATTTTTTTATGCACCAGGTTACATTACACGATTGCTTGACTTTCAGATGGTTAAATGGCTGCTTACTACTGAGAACAATCTGAGTAGAACCCTTGTCTAAACATCCCGTTTTGTGACAGATAAGACTTGGGGGAAGGGATACTTTCAGATACAGTTATTTCTAATTTAGATTTGATGAAGACATCAGATAAAGCTAATAAGAGATGCCTCTGTCTAAGTGGGTCGTTTTGTTTTTGTATCAATAAGCCATCAAGTCAACAGCCAATCAGTCAATCTCTCCCCTAATAATTAAACTTTTATGTGTCATACATGGACATGCGTCTAGACTCAAAAAGCTCTGCTTTCTACAATTCTATTTTAACTGGAAAAATTCTACATTGATTATTACTTTTTTAATTGTATAAGGTTTGGCTTCATTTAGATAAATAGCTGTCACCTAACCTGGAATAAAATGATGTTTCAGACCAGTTTGATTTTCAACTAAGTTTGCACACTTTTTTTCAACATGCTTTTCCCCATCATATTTTTCTATCACATTCACATGATGGAATGTTTCCATGTAATTAATATCATAATATTCTGCTACTCTGTTTCTTCTGTCTCTTAGGTCATTTCTCTTGGAGTTTTCTACTAATTATTTTTCTTTGTTTCCTGCCCTTCCACCCTCTTCCCCCACTTCCTTCCTCCCCTTCCTTCCTCCCCTTCATCTATCACTGTTGTGTTGGACTCTAGAGATTAACAGATTTTTAAAATGTTGTCATTCTTACTCTATGGGAGTTCCAAGTCTAGTAGAAGAGACAGAGGCAAATAAATAATTACTCTACAATCTGATGAACTACAGTGGATATCTGTATATACTGCCACAGCCCAACTGTACAGTATCTCCCCCATGTGCACTTTTTAATTAGCTTCAATCCTTGATCTCTCTGGATCTAAAGCAAAACGTAGGCTTCTTGTTTGAGCAGTGTCGTTGTGACCCTAAGGTGGAAATGAGGAGTCCTGGCTTCAGTTTCCCACGGTGCCACTGATCTACCCACAAAACCCACACACAACCTCTCTGAGCCACAATGCAGCATTCTTTCTGAGAAGCCACAGTATTTTAAAAATATATTTAAACCTGACCTTAGCTAGTCTGGCTCAGTGGCTACAGTGTCAGCCTGCAGACTGCAGAGTCCCTGGTCTGATTCCGGTCAAGGGCACATGCCCACTTTTTGGGCTCGATTCCCAGTAGGGGGTGTGCAGGAGACAGCCAATCAATAATTCTCTCTCATCACTGATGTTTCTATCTCTCTCTCTTCTTCCTTCCCCTCTGAAAGCGACCGTTACGACCGATGATGGGACGACTGGCCGGTAGCTATGACGTGCACTGACCACCAGAGGGCAGATGTTCAATGCAGGAGCTGCCCCCTGGTGGTCTATGTACTCCCACAGCCAACCTCCTGTGGTCCCTTCCCTGGCTGGGTAGTCAGTGCGCTCCCACAATCAATCTCCTGTGGCCGGCAAATGTCCCACGGTCCCTTGCCCCAGCGAACTGGTCCTGATGGCCCCGATCAGGACTGGGTGAGACGGCCCCAATGGCTTTGATCACCGAGGGACCCTATCTGTGCATGAATTCATGCACCGAGTCTCTAGTCTATACTAATAAAAGGGTATGTGCTAATTAGACTGGACGTCTTCCAGACATCCTTCCAGACAAAGGATGGTGGGGGCTGAGGCAGAGGTGGTTAGGGGCGATCAGGCCAGCAGGGGAGAGCAGTTAGGGGAAATCAGGCAGGCAGGCAGAGTGATTAGGGGCGATCAGGCAGGCAGGCAGAGTGGTTGGGGCAGTCAGGCAGGCAGGCAGGTGAGCGGTTAGGAGCCAGCGATCACGGTCCCGGATTGCAAGAGGGATGTCCCCCAAGGGGTCCTGGATTGGAGAGGGTGCAGGCCAGGCTGAGGGAACCCCCCACACACACTCCATGCACGAATTTCATGTGAGGTGCTAGTATATATATAAAAAGCCAGCAAGCGAACACCATTAGCAACCAGAACAACCTGCAGACTGAAGGGTCCCTGGTTTGATTCTGGTCAAGGGCACATGCCCACTTTTGGGGCTTGATTCCTAGTAGGGGGTGTACAGGAGGCTAGATCTGGGGGTGGAGCCAGCTGGCCAAATCCCCTGCAGCCTCTCCCCCTGGCCAGCCCTGCCCCTGATCCCCCCACCTCCCTGATCAGCCCGCAGCCCCTACCCCCAGCCAGCCCTGCCCTCAATCGGCCCCCTCACTCTTATCAGAGGCAGGGCTGGCCAGCCAACTACCCATGGCCCCTTCCCCAGGCCACTGGCCCTGGATCAGCTCCCACCCACCCCATTCTGGAGTGGGGCCCGCCAGCCAACTTCCCACCATCTCCTCCTCCCGACAGGCCCGGCCCCAATCCACCCCAATTGAGGCTGGGCCGGCCAGACCCCACCCATGCACAAATTCATGCACTAGGCCTCTAGTACTGTAACTGAATTTGGATTTAGCAGAATTTTATTTCTATTTCCTTTGGCCATTCCACTGAAATAAAGACCACTATAAAATTTTATATCAAAGAAATGTGTAGGATTTTATACATTTTCAAATTAAAATTTTTTTAAATAATTAGATAAAATGTATGTGCATGTATCAGTAGTTACAGGCTACAATTAAAGCACTTTTACAAGACTATTTACAGACCCATGTACATAAACTTTTCCTATAAGTTTGAATACAAACAAATGTGAATTTGATTAAATATCTAAAGAACATGATATAACAAATGCCTGATGTTTCTGGCACAGTTTTGTCGGCCCAGAGCATGACTTAAATTATACATGAACAGTAGGAATTCCGAATTCTTTGGAGCATTTTGTGTGAGTGAAGGGAGGTAGACGTTAAGTCAAATCCACTCACATTTGAATCCTGACCCTTCCAATTATTAGCAGTGTGGCTCAGGCAACTTAACTTTGCAGTTGTTTATTCTTTTTAAAACTCAGAGTAATAATACCTTCCTCAAGTGATTTCATCAGATTAAGTGAAGGCAGTTACGTATCACACTGAGCTCAGTGCCTAGAACTGGGTGGATGTGTTCAATGCCATGTACATTATTGTTGAAAATCATTAATGTGCTCATGAAGCTGTATCTTCCCGTTTAATAGTTCCCTTTTATTTGGAAACTATCATTGGGATTGGGCATTGGAGGGAGAATTTCCCCAACTGTTGGCTGAGGAAGCCGACTTGCTTAGGTGGGTCTTGGGGTTTCGCTGCCCTGTGGACAGCCCAGCTCGAAGCTCCATCAGTCAGGATTGAGCTGGAGAGGCTGTTGGGAAGCGAGGATTCACAAGCCTGCCCTCAGAGGCTGACCTGCTGGTTCTCTGGAGGAAGCAGACCCCATATCCATGCAGGCCTTGAAAAGAAATTTGGTGCAAATTCAGTTCCACGTGTTAGGTCATATACCCCAGGGTGACTTTTTATGAGGTTTCTATTAGCTATATGGATAGTGTATGATTTCTTAAGAGATGAAAATTGGCAGTAGAAAATGGAATGCCCTGGAATTTCATTATACCTCTGTATTCAAAACTCTCCAAGTCATAATGCTTTTGGGGCTGCTTTGGAGGTTGAAATCATACTATAAGCCTTCTTGGGACCTCAGAAATTCTTTTTGGGTAACCTCCAAAACCGAACCATCCTTTGTGACAAATGACAATTAGGGGAGTGGTCTCTGTATCTTTCTAGGGACAGAAGAAAGGCCACAGACCTCCGTAAATATTTATTAATGTGGCGAGGGCCACTCACATGGGTTTATTCAGCTGACTAATGATACAAGACTAACAATGCCCACCATAGCGCCGCCACACCACCCTTTATCCTTAGCAGGCTCAGTGCTTGGAGCAGCTACCTGACCAGTTCCGAAGAGTCTTAGTTATTCCTTAATAGAGGCACCTTCAGGGATCCAAACACAGAGCATTTATAGTTTCCCACTCCAGTCCTGTCACACCTCTCCCAGCATAGATAGCTGGGAAATGATGGAGGAAACAAGAAAGGACAGCGCCCCTCCACATCCTCCGCTTGTACATTTCTCCCCTTTAGGGATGAAGGCCCCTACTCTGTGACATCACTGTTGCCTCTACAAACAGAACCATCTGTATGGAGCGAGGAAGCCAGTCATTCCCTAACGTGCAGAAATACTTGGTGGGACTCCTGAAACTGATTTGCTAGATCAAAGCTGCACGGCTGTGGAATGCAATAAATTCCATCTGCTTGAGGAATCTGCAGCAATATTGCACTGCTTCGGAGAACCGGAGTCCCATTATTCTCCAAAATAGACTTTTTCTACTGTTAAAATTCCCTGTGGGGAGCTTTACTGCCTTCTTAAGCAGTTGGCATATTTTTTACAAAAGACTCCTTTTCCCCCTCCATTCATTCTTCTATCCTTACTTATGTCTCACGTAAGCCAGTGCTGTGAATGGTTCTATCATGGCAATGCACAAGGCCAAGAAGCCCCTTTTCAGTTTTATCAGTGTCTTTACATTTCTATTTTTATTCAAGATGATGGCTGTGAAACTCCTTGAATTAGACATTTCCTCCAAGTCACCAATTGGCATTGTTTTCCAGAAAACAGCGCTCCCCTGAAAACCTTGTCGAACCCGCCCTCCAGAAAACTGCCAAAGGTGTGATTTCCCCTCCACATCCTCTCTGAGAACCAAAAGCCAGATCTCCAGCCCAACCTGTCACTCCACTCCATGCTCTATCCCCTGCACAGATGCATGACTTTTCCCAACTGTTGTCTTCAACTCAGCCTCTCAGCTCAAAATTCCTCCCTGGCCCTTTGTGTAAAGAGCTCAGATCTGTTCCCTGCCCTTCCCATCATGTCTCTCTCACGGGATCTGACCCTGTGAGGACTCAAGCCGCCCTGGGACTAATGAATCACCGCTCTATTTTTTTAAGCCATATGTGAGTTAAATTGTTTGGTATAAATCATACGCTTGCAGCTCTAGTTGAAACAGGAGACCCATTTTCCTACTGCCTGTCCCTGGCTGCTGCTCTGTGTCTCTATCCAGTGTCCCCTATAGAAATAACTGCATTTTTGGGACAAACCCTTGAATGTGGACCAGTGTTTATCTTGGCCACATCCCCACTCTACAGTGAGCGCTTCCTGGGCCGATCCAAGACAAAGCTCATAATTTACAAAATAAAAGGACGGTACAGAAGGAGGTCAGATGCGGCCTGCTTACCCTGTTTCCCCAGAACCACCCACTCATTCCTTCTGCTCTCTTCGCCTTTTTTTTTTTTCTTTTCTACCTTCTCTGAAACCAAGGATGCGGTGTTTGTTTAAAAACGCATTGACGGCTGAAAATTTCCGTTGGCTTGGCATGTTGGAGGAGGGGCTGTCAGGAAAGGGCAATTCGACATACTAAATACTTTGCCTTTCATGCTAGCAGTTCACTCCTTACCAATCAAAACCCATGCCTTTTGGCCAGGTTCCCACACTCCAAGTATCTCGAGTAGGAAGAAAGGGAGAAATCTCTGTCTTAACTTTCTGCCGTTATAAATGTGTGGTTTCATTTAATCTAAGTAGGTCCTTTGACTTGTCCTTGAGCTCTGGGTGCTGTGTGCATACGTAGGGGATGCGAGTGACCAGTTAAATTACATATTTTGATTTTGCTCTAGCTCAGAAATTACCTCATAGTTTTAACATAAATTCATGTTTAACCTATTTCTTTTTCTTTTTTTCCCTTGCTGCTGCACGTACAGGGGAACAACAAAGTAAGTTCTTTGTCCTGCGGCAGCTCCTCTTTCTCTACTCCCCTCTGCATGCGTCTTGGCAAGTGCATTTCTATGCACGTTAAAATGACTGTCGTTTGTAACCGTACACAAATGACATAGGGTGTGCAAAAGCCAGGGGCAGCATGCATTTGGGTTCCCACAGTGGCTGTGCTGTTTTGACCTTTTGGAAGGGAAATTGGTCCTTCAGAGTTGATTATTGGGCATTGATATCATAGGGAAACAGATGGACACTGAGAGGAAAGGTTATGAAGATTTAATAATGAGGACCCTTTGGCAAGAAGGATACAACAATCTGCTGCAACTCAGTGCAGCTGAAGTTTTGGACCCCAAATCAAAGCTCTCCTGTTCCTGTGCAGTTATAAAAACCCCAAACTGAAATCATCAATAGCAGGATGCTGGCTTAGCTGATGCAACTGAGTTAGATCAGCGCTCTACCTTTGAAGGTGCCTTAAAATGGATGGAGGAGGGTGGGGTCAACATTTGACTTCGCTTCTGCGCCCTTGATGTGTTCCAGCTGGAGGAAGGTGGGAGGGTCTGGGGAATGGAGAGGGGCTGAAATGTGCATGATAGATTTGTGAAACCGGCAACATGCACAAATGGTGGACATTCTCATAATGTTGTTATAATAGATAAAGGAGCCATTTAGTTGTTCATAGGGTTGCTAGCTTGTTTAAACTTTAATTCAGGTTTTCCAAAAGGTAAGAACTACTTCACACAAATATTAATTATATAATAGTCAGGTCGTTGGGAAGATGGTCTTAACTTCAGCGGGGTGATTGTTTTTTATTTTGTTCTAATGAGACTTCTTAGTGCTTTCTCCCACCAGGTGGCCCACTTAAAAAGGGCCTCATTGAATACAATAAGAATTGAAAAGAATCTGCTCTAGAAGGGTCTGCCCGCATATTTAAACCAGCTGGAATTCATCAAAATTGCTATTCATAAGCCATACATATAGAATGTAAAACAAATGTGGGAAACCTTGCAGTTTAATTGGATGGAATGTGCTATTATGGAATAAGTTGACGTAGATGGTATTGAAAAATGTGTCACTTTATAAATTTATACCAAGTAATAATATTTAATGAAGTTAAAAATAATACAAGTAACGTACAAGACAGGCATTTGTGAAAGAGCAAAGGGGTAAACTCAGCCCACTGAGAGTTCACCTTTTTAAAACAGGTAAGTTATGAAATTGATGAAAGATTTATTACACTAAGTAAAGGATACTATTTCTCATATTATGACTATTAGGGGGGAAAAAGTTGGATAAAATGTAAAAGCCAGTATTTCAGTTCTTATACCAGATAACCTATATCAGTGTTTGAATAGTAAGGATTTCTGATCCTGGTCACTTACACTGCACTACATTGCCATGTGCTGTGTCTACACTGTGCTGAGTCTGTGTCTTCACTGCACTGAGTCTGCATCTACACTGCCATGTGCTACATCCCTTGTTTGTTCGTTAAGTACCTGAGCTAATTTGAGTGCACTCATAGCAAGACTGTGCGTGTCTGCCACAGGCCAGGGGACCAGCTGCTGACATTTTGAGGAGGTGCTAACCCACAGGCCACTCGAGGAGCATTTATGATTTGCCTCGTTCACTAGTGATTTCACTGACCACTTGAAAGCATTTGTAATATTCCCAGGAGAAAACACTCCTCCATAGCAGGAGTCATCCATTTGTTGTGTCTTGCTTGGTCAAGTTCTTCTGGGTGATAAACTGTTCAGTTTAATAGAGTTGACTGATTTTCAATTAATTATAATACAATGAGCAATAAAACCCAACATTTCTAAACTGCTGCTCATTGTGGGCACATCTAGGATGAAGCATAAGGCTCTCCTGGGCCTCCTGTCCCCCTGGAGCTGCCCTCTGCATCACAAACACTTGGTACAGTGCTGTCGGGGGGAAAGAGAGGGGTGATTTCAGGGGGTGGCGAGGGTATTGATTGGATTGTCAAAGACAGGAGTGCTTACTGGTTTGATTTTTAATTGTAGAGCGGATACTTTGGAGGTGCTTGTATTTATTGGCCTTAATTTTTAGTTGCTTATGTTATGTATAAGTGATTGCTTATGAAAAATATAATGCTGATACTTTTAAAATTTGATCATTATACCGACCATGGACTTTGGCATGAAAGAGCCTCCTCAAATCCCCAGCAGCACATCTGTGTGCTATTTTCCCTTAGCTTAGAATCTCAGCATCATGGAAAACACTGGCATGCAAGCTGTGCTGTCTCCATAGTTATAGATCCGATCCAGAGTCTTCAAAAGGAGAAAATGAGATCCTTTTCCCCCCTCTCATGCCGGAATGCTTCTGAGTTGTCCCCAAGGCAACATACCTGACTCCTTGCTTGCCATTTCCGTGAGCCAGATGTAATTGGTGACTCACTTTAGACTCATAGTGGCTGTTTACTTAGTGAATGGCATTTTATTAGTTATGATACTAACCAGACACTAAAGAAAAAGAAGCCTACTTAATTAGTGTTGCTTTAGCTGAGCAGCATAAATGGGTTCATCTTCCCACATTCATTAAGTGTACAGTCCATGTGCACGAGCGCGCATGCACACACACACACATGCACGGAATGAGCCTAATATTCATTTTCTCAGTGACAGAAAAATTAATGTTTCATCCATCTTTAAATTACACTTAATGTTTGGGAGCTAATCCTCTAAACTCCAGGAAAACAAACCTGCACAATAAATGCATTTAGATTTACATTATGAATGCATGCTGGAACAGAACACCAAGGTTCTCATTCCTCTTTGAACAATTATGTGTATTTTGTTATTTTTTCTTAAAAAGCACATTTTCCTTTTGTGAGGAGTACACAGTTGCTTGGAAAAACATCTCCTCCCAGGCCCATTAGTTATTTTTCCCATTGAAAATGTTTTTCTGTTGGCATAGTGATACCTAAGTGATACCATAGTGATGGTGGAATCTGTCTTCTCCTTAGAGGGGTTTCCCTGGATCCTGGATTCTAAATCGGTGTCTTCATGAGCAAGACTAGAATCCAGGATTTCCCGAGCCAGTTTTGGAATGTGAACAAATATATACAGTAACAGGGACTTCTTTAAATTTTTTTTTGAATGTCATTTTTAAAACTGAGGCCTTCAGGTAAAAAGTCATTTCTATGTTTTCTCCAAGATATTTAATTTCCCTCTTTACTTGGTGTCCTTTCTTGGTAGGCATTTATAAAAATTCATTAGACTTCTAATTTTTATCCTTTACTAAAGACTTTGAGTTTTTGGTTACATGTCTTTGATATTAGATTAGGCAAATTAAAGGTAGAAAACTCGAAATACAAGGAATAAAATTCTATCAAAAGCTCTCAAATTTCTCGATGTTGTTGGTGCAGAAAGCTAAAAAGAATCCCAAGTTCAGGAATGACTGCTTCAGAATTTTTGACTTTTGGGGGAAAACTGCATTTAATCTCTTATTATTTTTTTATTACCTTTGAAAGAGAAATTTACTGTTACTTTACTTAACTTTGGTCTTTTCAAACTGTAGGATTCTTACATTTCCCCCAGGAAAAAGTATGAAGTTGACTGCCTTGGTTGGAGAGCAGGCACATTTGAAAAGAAGAAACAGAGCCCCAACTAAATGCTAAAACAGAATTTAAAAATAACTAAGCCTTCGTCATTAGGGCAAATGCAAGAAATGTATGCTTATTCAAGGGCTTTGATATTTAAGAAGAGAAGAGGGAAGGGAAATCAGATGTAAACACTTGTTTTTACAACACTTACAAAGTGCCTTTTGTCTAGTGATTCCCCAGTACATTCCACAAGACTTGTGGCCATGTCGCCTCCATTAGTGGGAAAAGTAGTTATTACCTAGAGTACATATTTTGGTGATCCCTTGGATTCCAGCAGTCATTTGCAAAGATAGAGGGGGCCAAATCAAAGGTCACCAAAATATATCACACTGCAGAGCACAGATGTTAAATCTATGTTAATTTGTCTTGCCTCTTATGCCAGACCCTCAACTCCTAAATTCCTGTCCTTGGTCATATGTGAGAGAGTATAGACAGACACTGAAAACCCATCATCAAATCTGGAAATGTCTTGATGATGTTATAGTCTTGGTAGGTGTAAGGGGCAAACAGTACAGTGTCATGTACATTTCCTAATATGTTGAATGTATATGAGGAAGTCAGAGCATTCTAAGCGGTGTAAGTAGTCAGCTCAATTAGGGTTATTTATTTTCTTTGAATAATGTATATGCTTTTCCTGATTTTCTTAGAGAAGCTAAGCAAATGTATTTCCCTGGGATTTCAGGAGAGCCCATCTGGTTCACTTAATTTATACATAACCCAATAAGAATATCATTAAAGTTAAGAAGAAAGGATGAAAACTCACTGGCCTCAATGTTTTATTTTAGTCCCATGTGCATATAAAAATGAACTGTCTGATTCAATCATCACAACACCAGTAAGCCTTTGGTTCTTTTTTGGCAAATCAGTCTTAAAAGAGCATTGCTATTGCCTAGATTTTTAACCCCCTGTCATTAATTTTAATCCATTGGAGGAAAGGACAGTTCATTTGGAGGCAGAAAAGGTTGAGAAGTAAGTTGGAATCTCTATTATGTTCCCAAATTTATTAATCTTGGCAAATAGACTCTATCAGAAAGCAAGAAAAGACCTGTTGCTCAGAAAGCTCACAGTGGGTGGTAGAAGAGGGACTTCCGAAAGGTGCTTGGGCCTTATTTATGTTTTATTTCCTCTACTGTGCCCCCCAAAACTCTAGTTAGTGAGAAATAATGAGAGTAATTGCGGCTTCCATCATAGCTTTTTTGGACATATTTTCTCTGACAGTAATTTAGATACCTTTTTGAACACAAAAGAGTCTGGGAAAGAACAGTATCTGCTCCACATGAAAGATGGAAAGTGTGTGTGTGAGTGTGTGTGTGTCTCCCATGTGCACGCACATACACTTGTTTGAGCACAAAGAAAGGTGTAGGAAATGGGTTGGAAGAAAAC